GGCCAGAGAGGGATGTGGCCAGGGAGTCGCTGTCAGAAATGGAGACATATTGCAATCGACTAATGCATACGACTGAAACCAGGTTAGCGGATGATCACCAGTGCCTAAGTTTTTAAGTTTTTGCAATAGCATGCAATGAAATACTGTGTCAAATGCTTTAGCAAAATCAAGGAATAGCTCCACTTAGGTCTCTTAGTTCCATGCTAGTTTGGATGTTGTTGCAAACTTTTAAGAGGGCAGTTATAGTTGAGTGATATGGCTGAAAAACTGATTCAACAGAGGTCAGATAGTTAGATTGTTGATAATACTCACATAGTTGCATGTGAACACATTTTTTCCAAGATTTTTGACAATACAGGGAGCAATAATATCAATACTTTTATGGATAGATACTACTCTCGCAGTCTTCAGGTCTAAGTTGAATTTCTCTGCATGATGTTTTTGCAAATTCAGCTAAAGCTCTGGATTGGTTGCATCAGGCGTGCTTGAGACAACACCTGTTTGGCATATCTGTGCTGTTGTGAAGAATTCTATTCGAGGGTTTAAATCATTATAAGTTGCATTTTCAGTTGAATTTAGGGAAACAACATGAAGCATTTATTAAAAAGGATAAGAGAGCGCAATAAAGTAAACTAAACTCAAACAGTGAGAAACCAGTGCTACAATGCACTTGATATCAAAAAATAATAAAAAGCTGCCAGATATTCTAAAAACCTTCCCAAGTTTTAAAAATTACACAAAAATCCCTATGTATATTTAAACAAATGGAGGTCATTTAGTTGCTTCAATGGCCATTGGAGGGAATGCCCACCTGCCAACGTCAAGGCAGAGCCCCCTAAGCGGGTCCTACACTGACCCTTCACCTTGCTTCCTTGAGCTTCTGGTAAAGATATCTCTAATGAGACAGAGAGGGGTATTTTTTATATACACCCCTATATACTTATTAACCCTTAATAGGGAACACATAGGATGGGCGGCAGCTATTAAGCTATTAAGGGTTAATAAATATATAGGGGTGTATATAAAAAATACCCCTCTCTGTCTCATTAGAGATATCTTTGTATGTATTCTATTTTCTCTTGATACTGCCTCTCTTGGTAAACTTATTACCTCATTTGGATTCCAATACCACCTGTACGCTGATGACACTTAGATATACCTCTCCTCCCCAGACCTCTTCCCTGCCGTCCTGCAACGTGTTACTGTTTGCTTTTCTTCCATCTATGATTGGATGTCCTCCCGCTTTCTGAAGCTCAATCTCTCCTGAACTCCTTCTCTTTCCTACTCCTAATACTGATCCCCCTCTTTTGCTCTGCCTTCAAGTGAGTGGAACCCACATCAGTCTGTCTTTGCAAGGACGCTGTCTTGGCATTATACTTGATTCTGGCTTCACGTTTGATCCTCACATTCAGTCTGTTACCAAATCCTGTAGATTCCATCTTAAAAACATAGCCTGCATCAGCCCTTTTCTTACACAAGATGCTACTAAGCAGCTTGTCTGTTCTCTAGTAATCTATCGCATGGATTATTGTAACTCTCTCCTAATTGGTCTTCCCACAAGTCGTATTGCCTCGCTACAGTCTCTAATAAATGCTGCCGCCAGACTGATTTTCCTCTCTAGTCGGTCTTCTCACACCTCATCCCTCTGTCAGTCCTTACATTGGCTTCCTGTATCCTATAGGAGTCAATTCAAAGTGCTATCCCATACCTATAAAGCACTGAACAATTCTAACCCCTCTTATAGCTCTTCACAGATCCATAGGTATGCCCCTTCTCAGTCTCTCCACTCTGCCCGTGACCTTCTTCTGTCCGCTGCTCGCACCCATACGGCCAACTCATGCTTGCAGGACTTCTTGCCGATGGCTCCCGTCCTATGGAATAGCCTGCCTACCGCCATCAGACTCTCTTCAATAATTTAAAAAGTACCTCAAAACCCATCTCTTTAGGAAAGCTTATGGCCTCCCAGAGTAACCTCTACCTTACATAACTGTCTCTTGCTCTCTCCTAAAGGTCAGCACTCTACTCTCTCCCCCAGCTCTGCTTCACTTCCACCTTATTTGATTGATATTTCCTGTCCTATTGTGTTTTATACCCCACCTCCTATAGACTGTAAGCTCGTTTTAGCAGGGTCCTCGTCAACATATCGTTCCTGTAAGTTTTCTTGTAATCGTCCTATTTATAGTTAAATCCCCCCTCTCATAATATTGTAAAGCGCTATGGAATATGCTGGCGCTATATAAATACCAGTAATAATAATAATAACAATAGTATGTGTCTGTGTGTCACTATGTATGTCTGTGTGTCTGTATATGTGTGTACGTTTGTTTCAGTATGTGTATGCGTTAGTATGTATATGTGTGTGCCAGTACGTGTGTATCTTTGTGTGTGTGTATCTGTGTTCTTTTGTATCAGTGCGTGTGTTTGTGTCTGTGTGTCTATACCTTTCAGCGGGATTTGGAGGTGGGCCCTGTGTAGCTCCGAGAAAAAAGGCACAGGGGGTTTTGAGAGGCACGGGGGGGTTGAAAAGGGGAGGGACAGGGGATTTGAGAGGCACAGGGGGTTTGAGGAGGCACGGAGGTTTGAGAGAGAGCGGGGGTTTGAGAGGGACAGGGGGTTTGGAGAGCTGGGGGAGGTTTGAGAGGGGTTGAGAAGGCACGGGGGTTGAGAGGCACAGGGGGATTTGTGTGCAGAATAGGGACTGTCTCTCTCAAACAGGGACACTTGTGAGCTATGTAGAGGTATTATAACATCCCTAAACCTCTGACAGTGCATACTTATAATGTGAATACAAGCATGTGATGTAGCCATCTATTTTTATTTTTTAATTATAAATATATGGTAACGTGAAATAGCTGTATTCTTTTTATTGTGGAGGAACAAATATTGAACAGCACACGTTGTCAGTAGTTTTGCCAGTAAGAAACATGTCGGCCTGTTATACGTGCTGGTGTCGTGCAGTTTCTCGATTGTGAATTGTAAGTGGGGAGCGCCCTCTGGTGGGCATTGAACAGAATGTTCGCACGGAACGTTAAAAAATGGGTTTTTGTTTCCTTCTGCTGGGGAATGATTTGTGCACGGACCCGGCCGGTGGGCAGCACGCTGGTGAATGTCACTTTGCCTGGCTGAGTTAAGATGTGGCTGAGTCCGGTGAAAGCGGGGAGCTGTGTGCTGCGGGCGGTGCGGGGCAGTAAGTTGGGGTTCACACATGTTAATTCTGTCATCTGTATAAACCTTGCATGGTCTGACAGCCACATCTATACTTAATAAGGAACAGTATACCCAGCATCCAGTCACCCTCTTACTGTCACCCCTCACTGCGGACGCAGTCACCCTCTTACTGTCACCCCCAGCGCGGACGTAGTCACCCTCTTACTGTCACCCCTCAGCGCGGACGCAGTCACCCTCTTACTGTCACCCCCCAGCGCGGACGCAGTCACCCTCTTACTGTCACCCCCCAGCGCGGACGCAGTCACCCTCTTACTGTCACCCCTCAGCGCGGACGCAGTCTCCCTCTTACTGTCACCCCTCAGCGCGGACGCAGTCTCCCTCTTACTGTCACCCCTCAGCGCGGACGCAGTCTCCCTCTTACTGTCACCCCTCAGCGTGGACGCAGTCACCCTCTTACTGTCACCCCTCACTGTCACCCCCTCAGTGCGGACGCAGTCTCCCTCTTACTGTCACCCCTCAAGCGGATGCAGTCTCCCTCTTTCTGTCACCCTCACTGTCACCCTCTTGCTGCTCACCCCTCAGTGGACGCTTTCACCTCTTACTGTCACCCCTCAAGCGGACGCAGTCACCTCTTACTGTCACCCCTCAGCGGCGGACCCAGTCACCCTCTTACTGTCACACCCCAGTGCGGGCGCAGTCACCCTCTTACTATCACCCCTCAAGCGCGGGCGCAGTCACCCTCTTACTGTCACCCCTCAGCAGCGGACGCAGTCTCCCTCTTACTGTATCACCCCTCCAAGCGGACGCAGTCTCCCTCTTACTAGCTCACCCCTCAGCGCGGGCGCAGTCTCCCCTCTTACTGTATCTCACCCCTCAGCGGGCATGAGTCTCCCCTCTTACTGTCACCCCTCAGCGGGCCCTTGATCACCCTCTTACTGTCACCCCCCAGCGCGGACGCAGTCACCCTCTTACTGTCACCCCCCAGCGCGGACGCAGTCACCCTCTTACTGTCACCCCCCCAGCGCGGACGCAGTCACCCTCTTACTGTCACCCCTCTGCGCGGACGCAGTCACCCTCTTACTGTCACCCCCCAGCGCGGACGCAGTCACCCTCTTACTGTCACCCCCTCTGCGCGGACGCAGTCACCCTCTTACTGTCACCCCCTCTGCGCGGACGCAGTCACCCTCTTACTGTCACCC